AGAAAGGTTATTATTCTACTGTTATGCAGCTTAAACTGTAAAGGGAGATATTGGTTCTCTCACTGTTAACAGGGACCTCTGTTTCGTTCATTTTTAACTCTGGGATAATTTGGGATTTACAGGCACTTGGTAAGGAAGCAGCTTTGGTTTGTGTCATTATATATCAAGAACTAATCACAGAATATTCTGAGTTGGAAGGGACCCACAGGAATCATCAAAGCCAACTCTAAAGTGGATGGTTCCTGTGGGTCCCATGGAGAGATCAAAACCACAAATCTGGTGTTATTAGCAGCATGATCTGACCAGCTGAGCTAATCTCATGTTCACCATATATATTGAACACTCATTTTTGTCAGCAAAGGTCTAATAACTGTACAGGGAATCATAAGCTAAAGTGATGGGCATGTAAGTAGTATTACAGCTGTCTAGAAGATTCCAATACAAATTGTAGCGAGTGAACAATTTCTTGTAGGATTAGAGATACAATCACGAGATGTTAGAACTACTGATACAGCATATTTCCCAGTCCTTTACTTAAAGGCAAGAGCAGCCTTTTCATGGTAGAGCTGATTGCTATTTTATTCTTAATTATATATTTGGTTTTGTGGCTTGTCAGGTAGTTAATTTTTACACAAAAGGTGCAATATTTGTCTAGGTCAGACTTCACAAGTTTTTGGCATTGCTTTAAAGATAAAAAAAAAAAAATACATTTTATTCCATTTATTTTGTCCACTTAATTTTGTCAATTTCATCAGTAATTTCTTTAGTTCAAAATAAGAACTAGTATCATGACATGATTGATTTTGGTTGATTTAAAATCAAATTCAATATCTGTCCATAACTATTCGTTTTCTAGTAAACTTCCAGCAAACTTTTCAATCTTGTATCTGCACATAGCTATGGTGTAGTATGAAAGAGTAATATATGAGTTATACCTATTCCATCTTTTTATCTCAAGAGTAATATCACCTAAGTTCCATCCTGCTTATGCAGTTTTTTTGAGAGCTACTAGCCTGTACAGAAGCAAGTAATAAAAAAAGAAAAAAAAAAAAGAAAAGAAAAAGAAATCTAGTTTGTAACTCCATGTGAATGTTTGAAAAACATAACAGAATTGCAAATGGCTGAACATTTTAAGAAATATTACAACTTTTTACTTCTGGGAACTTAAAAAATCACAAATCTTTAAGTGTATAATCATTTCCTTCCTGAATAGCAATTTGGTTTTTTATTTAAGTGTTGCAAAAAAAGCTCAACAATTGTCTGTGGTGGATTGAGGCCAGACAGTAGATAATTCATTGAACATTGGTATCTTCCTTTAAATAGGAGGAAAGCCAAACCTGGTGAAGCATTTATTGTAAGGAGACAACAAAACTCTTTGTAGATGCATTTTTGGATGTGTATTAGATAATCACACAAAGAAAGAGTAAAAAAAGTGTTTGAGAGAGACAAATTGTAGAGACACTTTTCAGAGAAGTTTATGGATAGAAGTAAGACGTATATGTTACTTTCTGTATCATGTTTTAGTCTTATGATTGTAAAATTAGATCCTTGGAATGAGATCCTGGAATGCTGTGAGAAATACAGAGTTTTGAGTATTGGTCTAATCAAGTTAGGACATTTGCCCACAAAAAGTCTTCAAGAGAGGAGCTAAAAACTAGACAAAACTTAGAAGCACAGCTCAAAGAATGGAAATATTAGGTCAGCATAGGCTGCTTTTGATAATCACAAGACTTTTTCTTGGACTAGATTCTGAAGTTCTTTAAACAGGAACTGCAGTTTGACCTCAGTGGAAAAGCAGTACTTTGTGCTACCTCTATATTTTTAAACAATTTTATATAAAAATTTGGTAATATTGAGGATCAGGTTAACTGTAAAATACCTTTGCATTGCAAATTGTTTGCAACTTTAGTGGAGATTTTGGGGTTTGGGGTTTTTCTGTTGTTAATTGGAGTTGAATAGTATTTTTTTTTCCTTTTTACCTGAATTTGATTTTACTGATTAATTCTCCATGCTCTGTTAGTTGCAGCACAGAATTTCTGAGTCCAAATGCATGTTGCTAAGGGTGTAATCTTGTATTCTGGTAGAGAAATCCAACTCTGGGCAACTAATATTGTTAAAATAATTAGATATCTTAGATAAGATGAGAATAGACTGATGTCCTGGTTCATTCAGGAGTGTCACACTGGATTCTACAGAGCTTGAAGCTTCAGGATACTGCTGGCAGAATAGAAGTGGGCATATCTGCAGAGCTCAAATCCAGTTAATGGCTAAGGGGCTCCTTGGACTATAAAATTATGTATCCCCGATATTTTTACATGTGAATCCTGTTTCATTCAGAAATTAAAAAAAATTGAACACATTTCTGCACAACGAGAGCACTTTTTTCCTTTTTTTTTTTTTTTTTTTTTTTTATTTATACTTTTCTCTTTTTCTTTCACAGAACATGCACTGGGAAACAAGGGATGTTTTTTTCTCAAAATGCTGTTTTTTCCTTTTTAACTACAAGAGTTCCACTGTGTTAGTCACGGGTTCTTGTGTTACTTTTTCATCTTATTTGAAATTTAACTTCTGGGACAAAAAAGCAAAAGAGAAGAACAGTACACAGACTCACAACTCGTGGTGGGAATGAATCTGGACAGATAAACTGTGTTGTTGTGTCAGAGCCATTTCATGCTGGATTTATGTTCTACAAACGGATAAGTGACAAAAAAAAATTTGATGTGTACTACATGTTTGCCCAGAAGACATATAAACAGATAAACTCTGTAGACATTAACTTGAAGGGTAGTTCATAACAGACTTTCCTGTTACTCTTGAGAAATTTTTTGCTCTGCAATGCATAATTTTTCTGTTTCTTTGCTTGTCAGGGAATTTTTTGGTTTATGTTGCATCAATCCATTCTACCACTGTTATAGTATAATAAAAGATGATAGGATGCAGTAGGATATTTAGACATATAAAAGCAGACCCTTCTATTTACACAAATCCATACTTAGCTTGCAGAGGGGTGTTTAAATTTCAGTCTTACTGTACAGAATTTGACTTTCTTTTCTTTGTTCCTGTTTTGTTCTGAGAATTTCTCTCTGCCTTATTTTACTTATGTAATGAAAGGCGATAATAAGAATTCTTTCCCCTGTAAACTGTCATTCTTGGAATGAATTTTGGTACAGATGTGATTTGTATACCTTTATTCTGAAATTTTCCAGAGTTCTTATATGCTGTATCCTGGACGGGATGTGTGCGATCTGGCAGTTACTAGAGTTCAACTGTATTTTCCAACGTCTAGAAAAATTTTTTTAATCCTTACTATTTCAAGGATTTAATATCTTTGTTTTAAGGGTTTGTGGTTTTTTGTTTGTTTGTTTGTTTGTGTTTGTTTGTTTGTTTTGGGGTCTTTTTGAGAAAAATGGAAATTTAAATGCAACATGATACTGGACTTAGAATGTTGGATAAATTAGTTGTTTGCAATACTTTTGGAGAAAAGGTATTGTTTTTTCAAAGATGCTTGAAAGCTCTCTGAACAATGCTTATTTGCATGTTTGCTGGTTTTAGGAGAAGTAAAACTGCATATGAACGTTTATGAATTTTGTATTACACAACTCGGCTTACTGTATGAGCAGTGAAAGCTGGAGTGCTTTTTCATTTTATGGTGGTTTTGCTTTTATTATTTACTTTTTATTACTGGCACATAAGTGAGGGACTGATTTGACTGAATAAAAACTCACTGGCTTCAGTAGTGACTTCCACTTTTTTTGCAGTTATTATGTGGCTCATATGCCTAAAAATAGTCTTAGTTTGAAATCAGTAGTATCAACACCAAATTATTGAAAGCAGGAAGTAGAAATGGAAGTTCCTGTGGCACAATAGCCACATCTGGTTTCACTTCAGATCTATGGGGTTGCCTCCTCCAGAACAGCACAGATCTCCCAGAAGGAGCCTAAGCAATGGCACAGGTTTTTATTCATGCACCAAAGTTAATTAGCAACATTACTGATTACTTTATGTACATCCTGGGAGGCTGTGAAGGACAGAGATCAGTTTTTAAATGGTCCCAGTGCTACTTCCTGTGGTATCTGCTGTAGTTACATGTAGCTTATAACTACAGTTGTTCGCCTGGGTACTGAGTTAAATGCAGTTTTCAGGAAGGGCGTTTAATTGTCATATGAAAAACTTTTCTACCAAGTAAACGCACCATTGGTTTCATGCCCTGTAAAAAATCAGTAGAAAAAGGAGTCTTGAAGACTAGAAAAGATCTAGCAATGTAGAATCTAAAATCAGAATTCTGGGAGGTAGAGGAAAATGTCAAATAAACTGCATGAGTTCTTAAATACTTGTTAGTGGAGACCAAGCACCATTTTCTGTTTCAGCAAATGCTATTTCAGGATTGATTTGGAGGATTTCTGATGTTATGGAAAATGCTCATAAAGGGAGATACGCAAGAGAGAATTTATTTCTCAGAGTCTCTTTTATGTTAAAAAATTGGGAGAAAATTGTGTATCAAACTTATGATTCTAGGTGTATAATATCACCTATACAGAGAATGCATATTTAAATCTAGAGTGTTTGAAAGGTCAGAGCTAAAAGATTCTCTGCAGATTTTTTGGGTTCAGAAGCTGTCATGTAGAAGCTAAAGCTGAGCAATTTTGTCTCCTCCTACACTGGAAGGCAAAGCATAATACTGAAGAATTACACTTCACTCACTATGGTATTACCACGTAAACCCTGGAGGGAAAGAAAGTGAATTTCATTCTAGACTGTTTCAAGTTATATTTCTCTTGCATTCAGGTTATGAGCTAGCAAACTAGCCATCCTTATGATTATTGTTGTAATCATTTTTATTATTATTTTATTACATTGACAAGAAAAAAGAAATAATTGTCAAAAAATTTTGGATGCTTTAGTTCTGGGGAGGACAAGCTGATAGTGGAGAATGGTTTTCTTTTTCTGTCCCTTCTCTGAGGTATGCTTTTCTCACTGTTCTCACTCTGGCTGTTGTGCAGGTGGTTGACCAGATTGACACACTGACATGTGATCTGCAGCTGGAGGATGAGATGACAGACAGTTCCAAAACAGACACCCTGAACAGCAGCTCCAGCAGCACAACAGCCTCCAGCCTGGAGAAGGTCAAGGTGCGGGGCAGCGCGCCCCTCATCAAGCCCCCTGCGCACCCCTCTGCCATCCTCACCGTGCTGCGGAAGCCGAACCCGCCCCCGCCTCCCCCCCGCCTGACGCCTGTCAAGTGTGGCGAGCCGCCCAGGCCTCCTCCTGCGGCCAACCCAGTCAAGACCAACGGCACCTTGCTGCGAAATGGGGGCCTGCCCGTTGGGCCCGGCCGCATCCCGAATGGAGATGCGTGCTGTGTACCGAACAGCAGCTTGGAGAAGGTGGTGATGCAGCCGCTGGTGCACAGAGCTGAGAAGGAGCGGTGTCCCCAGGCCGGGGCGAGGGAGCGCGTTCGGTTCAGTGAGAAGGTGCAGTACCACGGCTATTGCCCCGACTGTGACGTTCGGTACAACATCAAGAACAGGGAGGTGCACTTGCACAGCGAGCCGGCCCGGGCTGCAGGAAAGCTGCCACCTCCTCCACCTCCATTGCCTCCATTTCTTCTGGAAAATGGAGGGCTGGGGATAAGTTCCAGTAATAGCTTTCCTCCTCCAAGACCTGCAACTGTGCCTACACAAACTGCACCAAAACCCCAGAAAACCATCTTGAGGAAATCAACCACTACAACAGTGTGAAGTATGCCCCTTGTAATAACTCTTTGTTTTTTCCTATATATAAGCATAAATAGGTAATGAGCACTTTCTACTTGAGCAATAAAAAGACCCAATGTATTACACCCTCTGTCCAGTGAAGTGGCAAAAAAATCACATGGTAAGTACAAAGATGAATACTTGTTGATCTTATTTATACTAGCAATGTTAGGAATGAAACACTTGACTCAGCCATTATATCAAGTAGCAATTCCATTTATTAATTAATATGGTAACATATGAGTAAAGACAGCACTGGGTACAGTGGTGGGGGCTTTCCCCTCCAACTGCACACCAGTTGTTGGGCTTGCTGGTATTTATAGATTCTATTAATGCATATTCATAATCTTTTCCTAGTTTCTATGTGAGCTTTCAACAGTTTCCATTTATACCTTTAACATCACAATTCTATATTCCAGGGTCATGAATCTATGATGGTGATGTTTGGTTCCTTTCCAATTTCTATACCCTATTGTGTATATCCCAGGATCTGTGTCCAGATGGTGGGGTCTAACTTCTATTTTCTGGGATCATTAATCTATGGTAGTGATGTCCAGCTTCCCCTTTCGATGTCACTAATCAGCAATCTTGATGTCCATCTTCCTTCTCCAGGAGCTTGAGATAGGATCACTTCCCTTTCTGTTTAAATCCTTTGTACATTCTAAAGCTGCAGTTTAAAATCCTTAGTACTAAGCAATATTCTAAGGTTATAATTCAAAAATCCTTATTATAAACCAGCTTAAGACTTATCTATTCTAGAACTACAGTTTAATATCCTTAATACTAAGCAATGTTCTAAAGTTATAATTCAAAAGTTCTTATTACAGAACAACTTAAGACTTATAATTGTTATTTGCACACAAAAGATTGGTTCAAAAGCCTTCTTTCATGCTTTCCTCGGCTGTTTATTAGAACTCATCTTTATAGCTATCCTATGGCCACGTTCCACACATTTCATAACCACAGCTGCACAAGTTGCCTTTGTTTACCTGGCACGAAAGACAACTTTGTTTTTCACACCAAAAATACCCTTATGGCAAAGGGTGCTGAACAGATAGTCATTATTTAGCACCAAAGTTATAAACGTCTGTAGCAGTTTCTTATTTGTAGTGTGGTTTAAAAGACAATGACAAGAAAGTTCAGTGTGAAAATACTGCATATTGGTATGTGATCGGTTTCAGTCTATCTGACACAAGGGAATAACCATTTCTCTCTTGGATTTAGGGACTTTTCAAATGTCTTTTGATGAAACCAAGTGGAGTACCAGGTAACAGCCTTTGACTGAATTCTAGCAAATGCTTTTTTTCTCATCATGAGTGCTTTGAGCAAACTTACTGTATGTGGTGGTTGCAGTAGGGAGTAATCACTGGATTCTCAGCAGCTTGGTCTTTGGTGGGGAAGTAAAAAAATAATGGAAATGTATGTTGGTGTGGCTCTAGAAAACTGAGTTGCATTTTGCTTCTCACTGTCTCAGTGCATCATTACCAATGTTTGAGATGAGCAGGATGGTCCCATTAAATTCCCCTTTTTTCTCCATCTGCAAAATGGTGATTTTTTTTTCACTGTGCAACGGAAGTAGGCTGAAAAAACAAAGCCCAGTCCTGTGTTTTTCACAAAGCTTTTGTCTGGTGCAAATCTTCTTTTTGAAGGCAAAGAAAATGTTGCTTAAGGCCTCCAGGGACATCCACAATTCATGTAAAGAGCTTTGAAGTTGAAAAGCTCTGTGCAATTATGAAGCATTAACATGCAAAACAAGATACTTTACATGTTACCACATTTTGATAGTGAACCCAATTAATATTCTTACTAGTTGAAAAAAAAAAGTCCTCAGTGTTTTTAGTTATTTTATGAGAGAATATCCTTTTATTCCCACAAAGAGAATTGCAGGGACTTAGAGTTTAAAAAAACATCCAGTCAATGAATAAATCTGATACTAAATCTGTTATTTACAAAACTTGTGCCAAAATAATCTCAGTGGCCAAAAACAAATACTATATTTTAAAAAGGTGGCATATTTCAGATGTAATATAGAAGGTACTTTATGGCAAAACAGAAAAATCCAGACAAAACAGGTTTTGAATTTTAATTTCTATTTACATCTAGTAATAGGTATTAAACAGATATTATGTTTCCCTGTATAGGTATTCTAATATTTAAACCAAAATAATAAGAGTAATTATAACAAAAATCCCATCACATGACTACTGTTTGTAAACCTTTGCAGTAAGCAAATATTTTATTTTGTGCAAATACACATCCAGGGTCTAAAGCCTCATGAAGTATTCCCTGCATAAAAGGAAAGAAAGGAAATCCTAAATTCTTAATCATGTTTTCCCCTCATGCCTCCCATGTGTTTTTCATGATGCATTTTACATTTGGTATTGTTTGACTGTACTTAATCCCACAAGAGCTGTTGCCAAGTGCAGTAAGTCCAGTCACTTGCAGCAGGAGACAGTAACTTATCCTGCATCTGTGCGAGATCTCTGCTGCCCAAATCAGGATGATGGCAGGTGCATTCTGCTCATGTGCTGGAACTCCACAGCACGTCCCTTGCTCATACATTGAAAACTGCATTTAAAATCACTGGAACAATGTGCGGACATATCCACATTGGCTATATCCAATGTGGATATATCCATTGGTTATGTCCAATATGGATATGTCCCTTTTCTTTTAAAAAGAAAATTCCTGCCGTCCCTACTTTATCACTGCTTTACAGATCATACAGTTGCTCTGAGCTTGTTTGGAATTTTTTTAATTCTTAAGCAAGCTGCTGGTTACAAGAAATAAGATAATGCAAATCAAATATTGCACATAAAATATTAAAGGAAATAACACTGAGTAATTTTAGAGTGTTATGGTTTGGTGCATATGTGTTACCTCACTTGGGTTTGTTTTTTTGGTAAGAACTCACCTCTGATGGCAGAGCACTGCATCTCTCCTCTGGGCTTGTCAGTCTTGTGAACATGTGAGCACCTCCAGACTGGATATGCATTGATGTACATGGAGATTTCAGTTTTGTAACAGTTTTCAGCTCTGGAAAGCTTAAACAGCATCAAAGTTTCAGCAGTTAATGTTAACTTTTGGTACCCAATATCTTGCATCTCATACCTTGTCTTCTTCAGAAGTGCTTTCTTGTCTCTTTCCCCACACCTCCTGAATATCTTCATATGATATGGCTGTGCCATGAAAAGGTGCAGCTTTTCAAATGCAATGCTATCTTTGACCAGAAATGCAGCTTCAAAATGTGATGGAAAAACATTGTTTTTCTGCAAAGTTTGATAGCCCAGGCTTTCTTTTATACAATATGTTCCAAGGTCTCTGTTAAATTATAGAACAAACATCGAATCAATTATGTTTTAATGAGAATGTCTCTGGCCTGTGTCCTGTTCTAAGGTATTTTTGTCAGAGTAATAATTTCACATTAATAATGTGTCAGAATAAAATTAAGGTTAAAACAGTAAATTTGCAAAATGTGGGAAACAATTAACTTTAAATTTTGCAGCACTGTTTGGAAACTGCTAATAGAAATGGTGTAACAACAAATGCAGTAGTGTATTCAGCCATTAGTATTTTTTACATTTATATTCAGAATGTAAAGTCTTTGAAGCATTTTTGAACACCTACAAAACAGTATGTTTCACACTATACTGAGGAAAACCCAGTAAACTGACCAGAGCTGGACAGGAGTTGTCTGCATGTGTAATGTAAATGTAATATTCTCTGAGATTACATTTAGTGTTTTGCAAATATGTTTCTACCTGAAAAAAATGAAAGTCCTGTAACAGTACTCAGAGCTTTAATTCAGTGTTTGCCATCACATCAGTCTGCTGTCTAGCTTTAATTCCCTATGGTATTTTAAAATCTGAACCGTCCAGATCTAGACTTCCCAAATGCAAATAGAAGAAGGTAGTTTTAATGAAGGGGACGAGTTTAGCAAAAATAGAATAAAAAATGAAAATTACTTAATTTGTAATACTGGCATTCATTAAAAAAGTTAACCCATGAATGCATTGCAAGAAAGGAAAACTAGGAGAGTAACATCCATTAACAATCCTTTTGAATGACATAAGGTAGGAATCTTCAAAAAGATAATGGATCTTTCTGCCACCTGGTAAAAGTCACTATTCTTGCTTCTGTCTTGTTGTCTGGAGTTGTTACCTTTCATCACATCATCAATTTTTCTTAAAAACAAGAAAAAATTCCAAATCTTCATTGATGTTTTTTATTACTAAATCAATATTTTATGTAAAATTAGACGTGAAATAAGTCAAGTACACTACAGCTCTTTTTATTAGCTTTCTCTAGATAACTTATTCATTGGTTTTGAAGCAGAGAGCAATATGAATTCTTTAATGACCAGAGAGATTTTTAGGTGGATGTTTGCTCAGGTCTCTTTCTCTCCATGTTCTAATTATGGCTTTCCTTTTAGTAATGCCGCAAACAGTAATCTTACTTGTGCATATAAAATCTTACTGTGGTTGCTGTGTCACCTGTCTGATGTAGTCTTAAAACGGGCATGAGTATTGGGCACATATTTTTGCAGATGCAGCATTTCTCACGCTCTACTTGTATATGTACTGTAAGCCATGCTTTTTCAGGGGCAGTATGTGTGTGTTTAGAAGCAAAATACCTAACAATTGCTCAAACTAGTAATAATATTGAAAGCATAATACTCACTGGTGCAGAAGGGTTTTGCAAGTGAGGTGTGCACAAAGGGATGTGGTAGAAATGTATGTGGTTAACCTTGCTAAGCACAATCACTAGAATTCTCAATTTGAAAAAAAATATGGCATCTGTTTCATAAACACGTTGTATTTTGTAGGGATATTTGGGATATAGCTCATGCAATATTTACATGCTGCAGCCTAAAATTTCTGTATCTGTATTAGCACAGACCACAACTGAAGCAGCAGCAGCAGCAACAGCTCTGGTGTTACTGGGTCAGTATGCTGTGGAGCAGTGCATGCAAACCGCAGTACAGCCTCATCTTTGGTAGCAGTTTCATGTTGATGATTTTTAGTTGGCAAAGTAGCAGGGATTTTATCTCAATCACCTGTTTTATGGTGGCTAATAGTCCAACAGAGCAAGATTCTCCATCAGTCATAATTTTGGCAAGGG